GTTTATTGAATTGATCTTTAGCTAAAAAGACACCAGTTGTATCAGATGGTTCGCTAACGCCAAATTTATTTTCGGCTAAAACTCGCATTTCGTATTCGTTACCTTCTACCAAATCTGAAAAGTTTTTCTTCAAATCAAAAAGTGGGTTTTTATCGACTTTGAAAAATTTTGATTTCTGGCTCGACCTTTCAACCCAATAACCAGTGATTGGTGATCCTCCGTCTGTTTTGGGAACGTCCCAAAAAAGCTCGCAGGAAGTTTTAGTAACGTTTTGTACCCTTACGTTTTGAGGTGGACTAGGCGGTCCTAACTTACTTACTATTGCTACTGGTTCTGTGATTGTCACCCATTCACCTTGGGCTACTTCGTTGACCGCTGCAACTCTGAATAAAAATTGACCGCCGTCTGTTAGTTGAGGAACTTTAAACATCAGTGTTTGACTGCTTTCGTGTTTACCAATTGCAGAGAAACTTTTTTTTACAACATCCGCTTTTTCAATGATATAATGTTTAATTGGCGATCCGCCATCATTTTCGGGTGGTTGCCATGACAACGTTATTTCGCCATTAATGTCAGAAGTTTGTAAGTTAATTGGAGCAGAAGGCTTATCTAAGATTTGAAGTTAAAAAAAGTCAATATAATAAATATTTTTCTTTTATTTAAAGTATACACAAACCTTTAACGAGCACGGAAAACTCAGCTGAATCTTCTCCAACTTCATTCAATGCCGTCAATTTAAACTTGCCAGTATTAGCTTTTGACGTTTTCTTTAATGTTAATTTACACGTATTTCTATCTTGACTTACAAGTACATTAGCATCAGGTTTAACGTCAGTAGGTTGAGCATCGGATTTGTTACTAAAAAAAGACCAGACGACATTTGGTTTCGGAGAACCTGTAACATTTGCCGAGATAACTAAAGTTGAGCCAGCGTTTGAAACAACTATTTTACTATCTTTAAATTTAGCTTCAGGCTCAACTTTTGGAGCGGATTTAACACTCACTCTACAATTTGATTCAACTTTACCAATTTTATTAGAGACCAGTACTTTAAAAACACCGCTATCATCATCGACCTTGGAGGGAACAATTTTCAAAGAAAGAGTATTGTCATCCTGTGTTGTCAAAAATCTATTGCCAGGTTTTATTTCTTTATTATTTTTATCGTACCAGGTAACTTTAGCATTTATTAACGATCCGGGTTTCAAACTACATTGTAAGAAAATTTCTTCGGGTTGAATGACGGATATATCAGACAAGAATTGTGTGAAATCCGGATGAATTTCTTATATAAAAAATAATTACAAAAATTCTTAATAATTTTTGCCAACATTACTGAACAAAGCAAATAAACATTTCAAAAGAAATACCTTTCTGCGTCTCTTCTACTGGTTTTTCTTCTTCAGGTTTTATTTCATCCTTTTTCTCTTCAACAGGTTTTACATCTTCTACTTTTGGAGCTTCAGCATCTTTAGCTACAAAACTACCGGATGGTTTGGAATAGACACTTGGCCCAGCCGCGTTCGAAGCTGACACTCTAAACGAACATTCACTTCCAGGAGTTAGATCGTTGACTTCGTATTGAGTAGTTGTAATAGGTTCTTTGTTGATTTTTATCCATTTTCCAGTTTTGCCGACCTGCTTTTCTATGTCGTATCCTATTACCGGTGAACCGTTATCTGATTCGGGTGCCTCCCATGTAACGAGACAAGACGATTTTGTAATGTTGTCTACCAGAACGTTTTTGGGTTCCGAAGGCGGACTTTGAACGGCAACATTAACGGTATGTTCAATTTTTCCATTTTTGTTTTCGATAACGACTTTATATTCCCCGGCATCCGTCGGAGCAACTTTCATCATTGTCAATTTCGCTGACGTTTGCGATGTTAGGGGTTTTATTCGTGCGTCGTCCGGAAGTTTGTCTTGTCCGTTGTAATACCAAGTGACTTTAGCGGGTGGAACTGATAGAAAAGCTAAATCTACCATTGAGGTAACGCCGGGTTTCAAAGTCAGCTTGTCTGCCATATCCGGTTTGGTGAATTTTGGAGGAGCTGTAATCAAATTTAACAGTATAATAATTTATTGTAACAAAGTGTTTGATTATTTTACCTTTTAAGATAAGTTTAGCCGCCGATTTTAAATTGCCTTGTCTGAAAAATATTGTATACTCTGCCTCATCATCAGGAAGAACATTTCCTGTTATCTCCAGTCGGTGTTCCTTTCCTTGTGTAACGAATTTCACGCGATTCGATGGTTTCAAGGGCTTTCCGTTTTTCAACCACTCAGGTTTCATGTTATCTTTTTCGGTTTGGCAAATGAAAACCATCGGTTGCGCCAGATCTTCAATAATTACTTCTTTCAGTGGCGTCAAAAAACCAGGTAGTGGTTCAGGTACGGGTTCTTCAACTTTAGGCTCTTCTATTTTTGTTTCGTCTTTTGGTTTTTCTTCATCTGTTTTTGGCTCTTCTTTCTGCGTCTCTTCTACTGGTTTTTCTTCTTCAGGTTTTATTTCATCCTTTTTCTCTTCAACAGGTTTTACATCTTCTACTTTTGGAGCTTCAGCATCTTTAGCTACAAAACTACCGGATGGTTTGGAATAGACACTTGGCCCAGCCGCGTTCGAAGCTGACACTCTAAACGAACATTCACTTCCAGGAGTTAGATCGTTGACTTCGTATTGAGTAGTTGTAATAGGTTCTTTGTTGATTTTTATCCATTTTCCAGTTTTGCCGACCTGCTTTTCTATGTCGTATCCTATTACCGGTGAACCGTTATCTGATTCGGGTGCCTCCCATGTAACGAGACAAGACGATTTTGTAATGTTGTCTACCAGAACGTTTTTGGGTTCCGAAGGCGGACTTTGAACGGCAACATTAACGGTATGTTCAATTTTTCCATTTTTGTTTTCGATAACGACTTTATATTCCCCGGCATCCGTCGGAGCAACTTTCATCATTGTCAATTTCGCTGACGTTTGCGATGTTAGGGGTTTTATTCGTGCGTCGTCCGGAAGTTTGTCTTGTCCGTTGTAATACCAAGTGACTTTAGCGGGTGGAACTGATAGAAAAGCTAAATCTACCATTGAGGTAACGCCGGGTTTCAAAGTCAGCTTGTCTGCCATATCCGGTTTGGTGAATTTTGGAGGAGCTGTAATCAAATTTAACAGTATAATAATTTATTGTAACAAAGTGTTTGATTATTTTACCTTTTAAGATAAGTTTAGCCGCCGATTTTAAATTGCCTTGTCTGAAAAATATTGTATACTCTGCCTCATCATCAGGAAGAACATTTCCTGTTATCTCCAGTCGGTGTTCCTTTCCTTGTGTAACGAATTTCACGCGATTCGATGGTTTCAAGGGCTTTCCGTTTTTCAACCACTCAGGTTTCATGTTATCTTTTTCGGTTTGGCAAATGAAAACCATCGGTTGCGCCAGATCTTCAATAATTACTTCTTTCAGTGGCGTCAAAAAACCAGGTAGTGGTTCAGGTACGGGTTCTTCAACTTTAGGCTCTTCTATTTTTGTTTCGTCTTTTGGTTTTTCTTCATCTGTTTTTGGCTCTTCTTTCTGCGTCTCTTCTACTGGTTTTTCTTCTTCAGGTTTTATTTCATCCTTTTTCTCTTCAACAGGTTTTACATCTTCTACTTTTGGAGCTTCAGCATCTTTAGCTACAAAACTACCGGATGGTTTGGAATAGACACTTGGCCCAGCCGCGTTCGAAGCTGACACTCTAAACGAACATTCACTTCCAGGAGTTAGATCGTTGACTTCGTATTGAGTAGTTGTAATAGGTTCTTTGTTGATTTTTATCCATTTTCCAGTTTTGCCGACCTGCTTTTCTATGTCGTATCCTATTACCGGTGAACCGTTATCTGATTCGGGTGCCTCCCATGTAACGAGACAAGACGATTTTGTAATGTTGTCTACCAGAACGTTTTTGGGTTCCGAAGGCGGACTTTGAACGGCAACATTAACGGTATGTTCAATTTTTCCATTTTTGTTTTCGATAACGACTTTATATTCCCCGGCATCCGTCGGAGCAACTTTCATCATTGTCAATTTCGCTGACGTTTGCGATGTTAGGGGTTTTATTCGTGCGTCGTCCGGAAGTTTGTCTTGTCCGTTGTAATACCAAGTGACTTTAGCGGGTGGAACTGATAGAAAAGCTAAATCTACCATTGAGGTAACGCCGGGTTTCAAAGTCAGCTTGTCTGCCATATCCGGTTTGGTGAATTTTGGAGGAGCTGTAATCAAATTTAACAGTATAATAATTTATTGTAACAAAGTGTTTGATTATTTTACCTTTTAAGATAAGTTTAGCCGCCGATTTTAAATTGCCTTGTCTGAAAAATATTGTATACTCTGCCTCATCATCAGGAAGAACATTTCCTGTTATCTCCAGTCGGTGTTCCTTTCCTTGTGTAACGAATTTCACGCGATTCGATGGTTTCAAGGGCTTTCCGTTTTTCAACCACTCAGGTTTCATGTTATCTTTTTCGGTTTGGCAAATGAAAACCATCGGTTGCGCCAGATCTTCAATAATTACTTCTTTCAGTGGCGTCAAAAATCCTGGAAGAGTTTTTGGTTCTTGCTTGTCACCAACCTCTGCAAACATTTTTTTCAAAATATAAATAAAGAGACAATTTTTTTTGTTTTTTTTTTTTATATTATTACAAAACTAACCAATAACTTTTAACTTTGTGGAACAACTGTCATTATCAATTTCTAAAACGTAATCTGCTACGTCGTCATTATTAACTTCTTTAATTGTTAGTATGTGTTCATTTCCATTTACTTTGATTTCGTAATGTTTATCAATTTCTGGAATTATTTCAAGATCATTTTTGTACCATATTACTGCCACGTTCGGTTTCGATAATACCACTTTTAAAACTACTGGTTTCCCTATAGGAGCGACAATTTCAGGTACTAAGCGTGTGATAATTCTAACCGGAGCTTCTGTAAAATTAACAAATTCATTAACTAAAGTTTAATTCAAATGAACAAAAGTTGTTACTTATTAAAAACTTTGAAATTTTTCAATACAACCTTCGACAATAAGTTTCCACGTGTTTTCAATTTTTTGTGGTACCACTGAACATGAGTATTCTGATGCATCATCCATTTGACATGCAGCAAAAATCAGCTTATGAATTTTTCCATTTTTTTCAATGACATACTTCACCTTTGATAAATTATCTTCAATTTTTAATTCTTTACCATTTTTCGACCATACTATTTTTTTTGTTGGTTTGTCTAAATTGCAGACAAGAGTTGCAGATTCATTTTCGATTACCCTAATTTCTTGCAGTGGTGTTACTTCTTGGTCAGATACAAGTTCAACAGCTGTTAAAATTTTGTTTTACAACAATGATTTTTTTATTTGTTTGTTTAAATCTTTGTTTCAATTTATAATATTTTTACTAACGTTCTACAGTTAATTTGGCTACACATGTAATTCCATTAATATCTATTTTAATTTCCGATCCATTATCCTCAGGTTTCAAACCTTCTATCGCCAGCGTGTGAGTATTGCCATCTTTTGAAATATTCATTTTCACTCCTGGTTCTACTTTATTTCCATTTGTAAACCACGTGACAGGCACATCCGGTTTGCTAATTTTACAAGTGAATGTTGCCGTTCCTTTTTCTTTTGCAGTTACGTCAGAAAGAGGTTGAATGATTTCGATCTTTAAAAATTATAAAACATCAACCGTTAGATTCTAAGCCAAAATGTTTGTAATGTTTTTAAAAAATTTTACCTGAGTTTTTTGAATTTTGAATTTATCTTTATCTACTTCTTCTTGTTTCTCAGTATCGAGTTTGTCTTTTTCACGCTGATCAGTTTCCATAGTTTCGGTAAGGGCTTGTGTTTCTTCAATTTCTTTCAATTCTTTGCCATCTTTCAACTGAACACTTTTGCGTGGAATATTCAACTGATCGATTGGCTGTTTCTCTAACTGCATACGGAAACGTTTTTTTTGTGTTGGACATTTCAATTTTTTGACATATGACATAAAAATTAAAAATGTTAAAAATTATAAAATGTCATAACCACCATTTCAGATGGGCGTCTTTTGTCCAAGGCATTCTCTGGAATAGGCTCAAATACTGATAATTTACGCTCAGTAGGTTTTTCTTCGGGTTTAGCTTGTGGTTGTTCTTGTTCCACTTTTTTCAGTTCACCCCAATCCACATCTTCAGCTTCCACTTTTCTTGCTTCGACCGTACTAAATTTGATATCGACGAGAAAATAACATATGCTTGTTTTCTCTATATTAATTTAATGAACATTTTAACGCACATATCGTATCATTGTCAACGTTTACTAAAACACGAATAATTAAATTTAAGATTTGTACGAAGAAGTTCTCACATTTTCTTAAGTTGTGACTTCCAATCTTGAACTTCATCTTCTTTATCAGTAACCATCAGTGTGACCGGGCATGCTTCAGAACCGTATTTATTCGAAAGGGTCACCGTAAAAGTACCGGCATCGTTCTTTTTAATACCATCCATTTCAAAAACGTGTTCTCCACTTTCAGAGTCAATGTACGCACGAACTCGCTGATCATCAGTTAATTTTTTCCATTTTCCTTTCGACCATTCCACTGACGGTACAGGTTCACCAACAACAGTGCACCTAAATACGGCTGTTTGGCCTAATTAAAAAAGCATTATCTTAGTAATAATATTCAATTGTAGCTTCTTCGCACAATATAGTTTATATAATTTAAATTACCTTCTAAAACTACGCATTTGATCGGCTTAGTTTTTAATTGAGGAGACAGCCCTTCAACTTTCAAATCAGCTTCCGAGGTCACTTCACCTCCTTTATTTTTAGCAACAACTTTTATCTTTCCAGCATTATTTTCCAGATCATTTTTCAAGGTTAAACTGTACGTTTCCGTTTTTTCATTACGTTCAAGAACTGCATTTTCGCTAGGTTCTATCGGTTTATCATTCACAAACCTTAAATTGTTTTTTCGAAGTTAACACAGCTTGAAGTAATATTTATACGTAAAAAAACGTTTTATAATGATAACTATTTAAAAATTATGACCATGTAACTTCTGGAACTGGAAATCCTGATATCTTAGCATCAAACCTGGCCACTCCATTTTTAGGAACATCTTTATTTTTCAATGGCTCTTTCAGTGTTGGCTTTTGGAGAGCTGCAGTTAAAATTTTTTTTGCTTTGGATTTTTTTTTACCTTATACAAAATTTTTTGAAAATAATATTGATTTTATTTTTATTATTTACATTATATTTAATCAATTTTTTATTACGTAGGCCATAATATTTACTAATTTTATACAAGTTAATGTCGATTCAGTTTTGTGCGGACTTGAATTTCCTCAAAAAATCAAATTTTTAAAAATAAGTTTTTTCCTCTCATTCACTTCTCAAATTCCAATTTTTATTAATTTTAAAATTAATCGTCATCGTTTCACTCATTTTTTAATTGTTTTAAAAAAGTTCTCGAGATAATTGCTACGCAGTTAGTTTTTTCCCAATATTAAGGTAAATTTATCCTTTGCGAAATTCATTCCAACTAAATGCCACCGACTGTAGTTTGCCGGTACAAGCTTTGGATTTTTTTAAAAATAACTAACACGAAACAATATTTTCCTGCATCATCAATCTACTTAATGTTCAATACTTTTTGAGTTTCAATGATTACGTTATTGTTCGTGAATATTATTTTCTTCAAGTCGATTTATTATAATAATTTGATATAATTTTATTATTCATTATAATATAACATTATATAAAAGTAAGTAATCAAATCAAATCAGTAATCAATAAGTAAGCACATATACCTTTTATCAGTGCTTCTTAATTACTTAATATGCTATTTAATTATAATTTTTCGATTTATATGTGGTTTGGGTAGAAGCTCCCCGTTTGATAGATCCAATAATCTAGACAAGGTAACATATTACGTAAGTTTTCGGTAACGCTGTTGTTGAAATTTTTTATAACTCGAAGTTCTTTTTTTGGAAGAATTTGCAATAAAATGGGCAAATAATTGAATTTATCCATGGTTTTTTTAAAATTAAATCTCACGCCTATATTTAACAGATATTTGATAATAATTTAACTCCAAATAAATAATCAAACGCATTTGTAATGAAAAGAACTAACGAGAAACTCGAAGTCTGATTGGGGCGGAAACCTGACCGGCATCGTTGATGACTTTGGCGTTGATGATACCTTCCATTGGTTTGGTGACGTTTTTGATGACAAGTGTGTGCTGGTCTCCATCTTGCTTTATTTCAATGTTCCCCAATGGTTCCAATTTATTTAAGCCGAGATACCTTTCAAACAATAAAAAGAAGCGAATTTTAAATGAAATTAATAATAAACTAATAAAATTTATTCAGCAAAATTACTACTGTAGTTGATTTCAAAAAAAAATGTTAATAACCATTCGACTTTCGGTTGAGGCTTCCCAGTAACAACAACTGGAATGCTGACCTCATCCATCTCGGTGCACTGCACGGCCTCTGGTCTTTTGAGGACTCTCGGAGCTTCTTTTTTCACTGAATAATTTTAAAATCTGGATTAAAAAATCTATAGCTTAGAATAAAATCTACTGAAATCTGTAGTTTTCAAATTTAATTGTATGTTTACCATTAAAAAAAATGATTAAATAAATCTAAAGAAGAAAGCTGATTGAAAAAATGACAGTTGTTTTGAAACGTATTTTTCTGAAAAAAAGTCAATATCAAAATAATAAAAATTTAAATAGAATGAACAAACATCAACAAACAATTATTAACTTCTATGGCCGATCAACGTTATTGCTTATGATAAAAAAGTGAAATTATTTTCATCTGATTGGCGTTTAATCAATGAATAAAATCGCTATGTACGTGGTCAGAAATTGAGAACGTTATGAATAAGCATGGACATGATGGAAATACTCAGGTAAGTGTTTGACTTACTTTGAACTTTGACGTTTGTGATGACTTTTTCTTCTCCTACTTCGTTTTTGACAAGTGCTACGTATTGGCCGGCATCCTCCGCCAACACGTTATCAATAATGAGACTTGATGTTAATTCCTTTGGCTTCTTAACATCAGTTTCGATTGTAAATTTTTCAGACGGACTAATTTCAGTGTCATTTTTAAACCTTTAAAAAACGGTCATATGAAACTAACAGAATAGTCAGAGAGTAATTCGAAATAAAAATTTTGAATTAACCATTTCACTTCTGGTGTTGGATTTCCGGTGACAACGACATCTATTTTTACTTTTTGACCTTCTTTCGAATCTTTGTCCAACGGTTTCTTTGTAATGGTTGGCGGGTTTTTTTGCTCTGAAATTATTGCATTATACAAGAACATAAAATATATATTTGAAGAAAGTATTGAAATAATATTTACTGAATGTAACAACTAAAAATTTGATACCGTTAACTGTAACAACAGCTGATGTTTCACATTTTGTACCATCCGGAGCCAGAACAACACACTTGTAAACGCCAGAACTTTTTATTGAAGATGAAAGAAGTTCTAAACCACAAATGTTTTTTTCCTGCGTTATTTTTCGTTGAGGGGTAGATAGCAACTCAACGTTGTCCCTAAAAACGTAAAATGAATTATTAAAAAAATTGGAATTACAAATAATGAAAAAATAGATACTAACTTAAACCATTTAACTTTTAATTTAGGTTGGTCAACAACTTTCAACTGCAACAAAATATTTTGTTTCTCTTCGGCAACCTGTTAAAAAGTCAATACAAAAATGTCTAAAAGAGAAAACTTTATATGAAGCAAAAAATCATCACTAACAGTATCGTTTAATGGCTCAAGTATTAGAGAAGAATCAACATGATCAAGATTATTACGTGCTAACGCATCCTCTTTCACGAAAACAATTAGTTGGTCGTTTATGTCTTGAATAACTGATTCTTCTCGTTTAGCTACGTCACTAACAACAGTTTCTTCTTCTTTGATATCTGGTTGTGAGATTGTTTCTTCCGATACAACTTCATGCAAAATAGAAGCCTGTTGCTCGGCAATATCAGACGGTGAAAGAGATGGTTGTTCTGTAGCTTCTGGTTGGATAGGCTGTTGTTCAACGATATCACTTGGATGAACTGTTTCTTCAGAAGTTATCTCCTCGATCTGTCCACTTTCAATTATTTGTTCGTCAACTTTTGGTTGCTCAATTTCAATATGCTCTGTCGTGAATTCCATAGTAGATACTTCGTCCGGTTTAATTTCATCAGTTTTTAGAACTTCTAATGGAATTTGTTCTTCTTGTTGAACAGTTTGCTGTTCATTTGTGTCCTGACTAACTGATTCTTCTCGTTTAGCTACGTCACTGACAACAGTTTCTTCTTCTTTGATATCTGGTTGTGAGATTGTTTCTTCCGATACATCTTCATGCGAAATAGGACCCTGTTGCTCGGCAATATCAGACGGTGAATGAGATGGCTGTTCTATAGCTTCTGGTTGAATAGGCTGTTGTTCAACGATATCACTTGGATGAACTGTTTCTTCAGAAGTTATCTCCTCGACCTGACCACTTTCAATTATTTGTTCGTCAACTTTTGGTTGCTCAATTTCAATATGCTCTGTCGTGAATTCCATAGTAGATACTTCGTCCGGTTTAATTTCATCAGTTGTTATAACTTCTGATGGAATTTGTTCTTCTTGTTGAACAGGTTGCTGTTCA